ACCATCATCACCATCATCACTACCATACCATCATCATCACTGTCACCATCATCACCACCACTGCCATTACCATTATCACCGCTATCATCACCACCACCATCACCATTATCACCATTACCATGACCACCATCACCATCACCACCACCAGCACCTCACCATCATCATCACCTTCCTAATCACCACTATCATCATCACCACCATCGCCATCAATACCATTACCATCACCATCATTATCATTACCTTCCTAATCACCACTATCATCAGCATCACCATCATCACCACCAGCATCACCACAATCACTATCATTACCATCACCATTATCACCCTCATTACCGGCATCACCACTGCCATCACCATCATCATCATCACCACTATCATCACCACTTATCCATTACTGTGTCCCAGGCACTACCTTATGCTTACATATTATTGAATCCTCTTTACCATCTAAAGAGGTCCTACAACAATACAGTAGTGATGGAACCAGGATTTAAACCCATATCTATCTGACTCTAAAGACTGTGCTCTTCACAGACAAACTATACGCCTTTTTCTCCTATGAGTGTGGATCCAGCGGAGGCCCAGGCTGAGAAAGACCCCCTTGGACTAGAGGCAGGGGCACTTGGAGGAGATGGTACAGCACAGAGGTTTGATTTTCAACTTCACCACAATCACCACTTACCTGGATCTCAGGTAGGCATTTTAGCATCTCTAAGCCTCCATGTCCTAGTCTGTACAATGGGCATAATAACTCCTAGGGTAGTTGTGAGACTTAAAACAATACCTACCAGAGTACCTAGCTCATGCCTAGCACACAGTGAGTGCTCAGAATTATTACTGTTCTGATTTAAGATCCCCCAACACATAAGCGCCAGAGGAAGAGGTGGCCCAGAGTAGGAAGCTAGATGCTCAGCAAGGGGCTAAGAGACCCCACTGCCCCTGGACCTTTCCCCAGCCCACCTCTGCTCATAAGCCTGAGAAGATTGCTCAATGGCCAAGTTCATGGTTTTCTTCTGCATTAACAGGCGCCGCTGGAGCTGCTGGTAGACATTGTCATAAGCAGCCTTCTCAAATCGTAGGTCTTCAATCTCCTTCCGGAGCTTGGCATTAGTCGTCAGCATCTTGTCAAAGTGAACAGTGACCTGTTGAAAGTGCCATGCTTCAAAACAGGGCTAATTTCTGGGGCATAAGACAAGCTTCCAGAAGGCACCTGGAGGGCTGGCAGGTCTTTGCCCTACTGCACACCCAGGGCCATGGAAGAGTGGTTGGAGCCCCGGGGGAGAGGCCCAACTGGTTGGAGCCAGTTGAGTGGCCCACCACCTGGCCAAGTGCCCTTTGGTGGACCTTTTTTCCTGGATTTCAAATTCTTCAACTACTTTTAGACCTAACTTCCAGTTTTAGGCAATTAACAGGGGAGAGGGGAACAAGCTAAATGACACCTTAGGAAATAATCAGCCAAAGTGAGAAGGTATTAATAGAACTTTCTACAGGTCAATTGTCTTGGACTCTTCAACAAATTGATAGCATGAAAAAAAATTGGGTGGGGCTGTTTTCAAGCAGGGTTTCTCAAACTCAGCACTATTGGCATTTTTGGGCTGGATGATTCTTTGCAGTAGGGGGCTGTCCTATACTTCGTGGGATATGAAACACCCCCTACATGCAGGCAGCACCCGCGCCTCCACCCCTATTATGACAACCAACACTGTCTCCTTTTGGGGACAACATCCTTTGGAAGCAAAATCACTCCCAACTGAGAGCCACTGTTCTCCATTAAAGAAATTTAAGAGACCTAACAATTTTGTGAACCTTGATAGGATCTGCCTTCAAAAGAATTTTTAGGGCCAACCAGGTATATGTTAATGTGGACTAGGTATTGTGTAATATCATGAAAATATTATTAATATTGTAAGGTGTAATACTGGTCTTATGACTGTGAAAGAAAATGTTTAAGTTTAAAATATGCAAACGGACGTATTTAAGGGTGAAATGTTGTGACATCTGTAATTCACCTTCAAATACTTCGGGGGGGAAAATGGTGAAGCAAATAAAGCAAATGTCAACAGTCGTTAAATCAAAGCGATAGGTCTGTTCATTGTTTTATTTCCTCTCCTTTCCTGTATGTCTTATAAATTGTCTTAGCTTTTTAGAAAGTATTTTTTAAAGGTGATATTATTGGTTACACTATTCACGGGAATGTAGATTGGTGCAGCCACTATGGAAAACAAGAACGAAGGTTTCTAAAGAAGTTAAAAATACAACTACCATATGACCCAGCAATCCCTCTTCTGGGCATACACCCAAAGGAAATAAAATCACCACCTCGTAAAGACATCCGCACTCTCACATTCATTGCAGCATTATTCACAACAGCCAAGATTTGGAAACCACGTAAGTGTTCACTGACAGATGAATGGATGAAGAAATTGAGGTGCTGAGCACGGTGGCTCATGCCTGTAATTCCAGCACTTTGGGAGGCTGAGGGGTGTGAATCACTTGAGGTCAAGAGTTCGAGACCAGTATGGTCAACATGGTGAAACCCCATCTCTACTAAAATACAAAAATTAGCCAGGCATGGTGGCAGGCACCTGTAACCCCAGCTACTTGGGAGGCTGAGGCAGGAGAATCGCTTGAACCTGGGAGATGGAGGTTGCAGTGAGCCAAGATCACACCACTGCACTCCAGCCTGGGCAATAGAGGGAGACTCTGTCTCAAAAAAAGAGAAAAAATCAACTATACAGAGATAGAGAATAAAACAGTGGTTATCAGGGGCAGGTGGGGCGTGGGGGAAAGGAAACAGGGCATGGAAGTCAAAGGATAGCAAGTAGCTGATATGGAGGATGAGGAAGTCTAGGGCTCTAAGGAATAACATGAGTACTCCAGGGAATCGAATTGTACTGTATTTGGGGCTGGGGGGCAGTGGCTCACGCCTGTAATCTCAGCACTTTGGGAGGCCAAGACAGGTGGATCACTTGAGGTCAGGAGTTTGAGACCAGCCTGATCAACATGGTGAAACCCTGTCTCTACTAAAAATACAAAAAATTAGCTGAGTGTGGTGGTAGGCACCTGTGATCCCAGCTACTCTGCAGGCTGAGGCAGGAGAATCGCTTGAACCTGGGAGGTGGAGGTTGCAGTGAGCCAAGATCTTGCCACTGCACTCCAGCCTGGGGCAAAAAAAAAAACCCCCTTAAAAAAAAAAAAAAAAAAAAAAAAAATTGTGCTGTATTTGGGATTCCTGCTAATGAGCAGATTTTAGAGGCTCTTGCCACAAAAAAACAAAAATGGGTAACTATGTGAGATGATATGTTAATTTGCTTCACTATAGTAACTACTTTAATATCTATATGTATCCAATAATATGTTGTATACCTTAAATATACACGGTAAAATTTATTTTTTTATTTTTATGAAACAGGGTCTCACTCTGTCAATCAGGCTGGAACGAAATGGTGCAATCACAGCTCACTGCAGCTTTGGCCTCCCAGGCTCACGCGATCCTCCCGCCTCAGCCTCCTGAGCAGCTACAGGTGCAGGCAACTACACTCAGCTATTTTTTTGAATTTTTATTAGAGACGGGGTTTCACCATGTTGCCCAGGCTGATCTCAAGCTCCTGAGCTCAAGCCATCCTCTTACCTCAGCCTCCCAAAGTGCTCAGATTATAGGTGTGAGCCATCACACCCAGTCCATTTTTTTTAATAAAATAATTTTTTAAAGACAATGTGAAGGGTTCCCATAAGCATTGAAAAGAAACAACTACAAAAAAATATACCTAACAGTAAGGGGATTTAATTTCGCTGCAGGTTTTCAAAATATGTTCTCAGAAACGTTTGGTTTCTGCAGGGCTAACACTGGGGTAAAGCAAGTGAGACAACCGGGGCATGACATTTAAGGCGGCACTCGCTCTCAGGTGCCAGCCCGGCGCTTCCACAAGCCTGAGCATGAGAGCCTCCTCAAATGTTGCACCCTGGGCTCTTTGCTTGCCTCTGCCAGGCCCAGCTCTGGGTATTCCTGAGTGTCTCCCCTAGCCACCACACAAGGCAGGGGAGTCCCTGGGAGCAGAGCATTCTTATCCTATCTTGGCATCCTCCACTTCCTCTTGGGAAGTTAGCAGTTTTCAGTCATTTGCTCTTTAGTGTGAATTTTGCTCCAGGACTGTACCCCAGGACTAGTATTTTGCTCCATACTATCCAACCTCTGATCGTTGGGAGAAAGACCTGACGTATGGGGAGGATTCTCAGCCCCCGCTTTTTCTTTTCTTTTTTTTTTTTTTTTTTTTTTTTTTTTGTGAGACAGGGTCGCTCTCTGTCACCCAGACTGGAGTGCAGTGGCACAATCTTGGCTCACTGCAACCTCCACCTCCCAGGTTCAAGTGATTCTCCTGCCTCAGCCTCCCAAGTAGCTGGGATCACAGGTGTGTGTCACCATGCCTGGCAAATTTTTTTTTTTTTTTTGAGACGGAGTCTCACACTGTTGATTGGGCGAGAGTGTAATGGTGCAATCTAGACTCACTGCAACCTCCACCTCCCGGGTTCAGGCGATTCTCCTGTCTCAGCCTCCTGTGTAGCTGGGATTACAGGAGCACACCACCACACCAATTTTTGTCTTTTTAGTAGAGATGGGGTTTCACTATGTTGGCCAGACTGCTCTCAAATCTCCTGATCTCGTGATCCACCTGCCTCGGCCTCCCAAAGTGCTGGGATTACAGGCGTGAGCCACCGTGCCCAGCCAGCTGCCTAACCTACTAAAAGGCACAATCACATCTGGTTAGGGACGAAGGGGACCAGTTTGAGATATAAAAAAACAGACCTCTCCTGAATGTAAGAAGGAGCATTACTACAGATCTTATGGAAAAAGCATAAGGAATAACTGTATACCAAGAGATTAGGATAATTTAGATGAAATAGACAAATTCCTAGAAAGACACACATTACTGAAATTGACTTGAGAAGGACAGAACATCTGAATAGACTTACAAGAAAAAAGCAGACCTCTGAGGCTGCAGTGAGCCATATCATGCCACTGCACTCCAGCCTGGGTGACAGAGTGAGACTTCATCTCGAAGAGAAAAAAAACAAAACAAAAAAAACTGGACCTATAGACAAGTCATCATTACATCATGCATGCATTTAGTAATTCATTCAATTGACAGATACTTGCTGAGGCCTTAAACACCATGCAAGGCATTAAATATGATTCTTAACCAATGGGACCTTCGGTCTCTCTGGATTTGCTAATAATGATTCAGATGTCTGAACCTAAGCCCTAGCGGTTCTGATCTGGTGAACCCAGAGGGCATCCAGGAATCTGTATTTTTAACACATATCTTGGGAATTCTGAGGCATAGCTGCAAATCGCTGGGCATGGACATTAAAAAGACACCGCCCTGTCCTCCAGCAGCAACTTGGGGAGGCAAACAGGGATCAGATCCAATTAGCTCCCATCATGCCTGGTCAAAGCCTGGTGGCCAAAGTCTGGAGAAAGCTAAGAACTTTGTTTAGTGAGGCAATGACGGGCTTTCTTCCAAATCCATTCACTTTCTCCAGTAGCTCACGTGGGAGCTACAGTTTCACAAACCAGACTGGAATGTGTGGTTTGTACCTGTCTATCATTCTTCTCCTCCTCTTTTTGCTTTTCCAGGGGAACCCCCTCTCCTCTCATCCACATATTTTGGATAGGGCTGCCCTTCCCTGACTTGGGGTGGCAGTGGGTGGGTTGTGGGGAGAGGGGTCCCAGGGTAGTCATGTGACTCAGGCCCATGTATTTCATTCTTCTGATCACCATGATTGGTTCAGGGATGGGCACATGACCCAAGCTGGCCCAGTGGGACCTCTCCCCAGAACATGTGGTTAAATACTTAGGAGAAAGATGTTTCATTTCTGCTGACATTTGTTCATATTGGAGCCTACCTAAAAATGAAGTCCACTCAGAGGAGAGATGGACAGAGAATGTGTCCTTAAGACAAGTATGGAGCACCTGAACCCAGCTATGCCTGAAGGCCCCACTTCCTCCTCTGAATCTTTCAATTCTATGACAAACACATTCTCTATTTTTGCTTAAGCCAGATTGCAATTTAGGGAATCCTGCTTAACGCAAAAGTCACTGAAGATTAAGGGTGATCACTGCCAGCTTTCCCATTATCAAGTTATGCATATCTACGCCTACTCATTCTTGGAGACAACACCACCACCAACAGAAAGGCACTGGCGTGACAGAGGCATGAACGGCTTGTCACAAGAAGGAAGGTCTAACTAATGCTGCTTTGGTAATGGGTAATATTTGAGCTGCTTCTTGAAAACAAACAGGAAGTTTGGAGGCAGGGAACTAAGAGTGGGCATCCCAGGTAGGTTGGGGGATTCGGGTAAGGGTCTGAGGGGATAACCACATTTGCTAAGGTGGATGGTAAATCCTAAAGGCTTCCTGGTCTGTGTGTCCATTAGTTCACCTGCTCCTGAGTTAACCAGGGAAATGGGTACGCTCTGCTAATGGCTGGGCAGACATCATTCTTTGCTCTGAGCACAGGTGGGCAGAGCTGTTTACAGAGCTGCAGAGAAGACATTACATACGAGATTCAAACGGGTTTCCAAAATATGGATCTGTTTCTGCAGTTTCCGGGGGTTATTGGCCTCCTTCATTTTTGCGAAAATCTGTTTTTGGTTTGCAATTTTTTTTTCCATCTGAACAATCTGAAAAAAAAAAAAAAAGAGAGAGAGAGAAATTCCAGCTGTGTTAGCATCTCTCTGGGTACCAGTTCTACAGTTCACTGACTGAAGAATGCTCAGAAAAACTGCAATGTTCTTCCTTTTCCTATAAATGGCATTTTAACTTGTCTCTTGGATGCCTGCTCAATTAGACTCAGTCCTAGCCAGTTTGGGGTACAATGAAACAATATGGAGTTTTTGCTCTCACCTGTGCATGTAAATGTCACTCACCTGTGACATTTACACACATTGACATATATTCTGCCTACCCAAAGCCATGGTTTTCAGCAGAAATGACATTGTCCTCTGAGGGGCCTTCTTTAAGCATCGAGAGGTGTTTTTTTGGCTCTTGCAATGATGAAGGCACTAGTGGCATTTAATAGTGGGTCGTGAGGGTCACATACCCTGCAACATGTGGGACAGCACCAGGAATCCAAGATTTATCGTCTATCCTTGTGACTTCCCAGTGCCCCTCTGGGCATTATGTTGGTGAGA